GGACCAGGATTATGAGGAAAGGCTGGAGAGGTGAGGATTATTCTCATTGGAGCAGAGAAGGTTAGAGGACCTAATAGAGGTCTTCAAAATCATGAGGGGATTTGATAGGTTAGAAAGGGAAAAACTGTTTCCACTGGTGGGTGTGTCGGTGACTCGAGGTCACAGATTCAAAATAGTCTCTAAAAGAAGCCGAGGGGAGGTGAGAAGAAGTGTTTTCACGCAGCGAGTTGTTCGAATCTGGAATGCATTGCCTGAAAGGGCGGTCGAGGCCGATTCGATAACTACTTTTAAAAACGCGGTGGACGGGTATTTGAGGAGGACAGGTTTGCAGGTTATGGGGAAAGGGCCGAGAGTGGGACTGACATTAATTGCTCTATTTAAAGAGCCGCACAGACTCGATGGGCCGAATGGCCTCCTTTTGTGCTGTACGATTCTATGATTCTATGAATGGTTAAAGTAGACAGTATTGATGCATTTATTTTATTTTCGTCAGGCGGGTGTCTGACACATGAGGAAACCCATCACTGGTTTGAGAGCATCCAAACAAAACTGAGTTTAGTTTCATACATCCCATCAAAACATGGAAATTCCTGAGACATTTATTGGAATGGAATGTCCCCTCTCTCCCTGGAGGGAAGCAACTGCTTACCTCATTATGGAGAACATTAAGCGCAGGTTGGCGAGAGCCAAGGCTTGGGGACCCCCAGTGTACACTGAGGTAACTGTTGGAATCTAAGCTGCTAAAAAAACATAGCTTGAATTGAGAGCGCTGTCTGGCAACTTTCCCACTGCTTGCCCAGCGAGGACCACCCTACCTGTTAGTTAGGGCTTTGGCTGTAGGGTTAACAGGAGCTGAGTGGGAGGTTTCCCTGCCCCAGTGACTGGTCTTTCGCACACAGCCACAGATGGAGAGCAGTCAGTCAGCGGCACGAGAGCGAGGGGCGGAGTGGGGATAAAGCCACAGCGAGGAGAGCAGCCATCCAGGAGCAGAGGATAATAAACCAGCGAGAAATTGGAATGTGTGAGTGTCCAGAAGGACTTGAGTGTCCTTGTACACCGATCACAGAAAGTTAGTCTGTAGGTGCAGCAACCAATTAGGAAGGTGAACGGTATGTTAGTGTTCATTATGAAAGGATTAGAGTAGGGAAGTCTTGCTGCTACCGTATAGGGCCCTGGAATACTGTGTGCAGTTTTGGTCTCCTTATTTAAGGAAGGATGTACTTACTTTGGAGGGGGTGCAGCGTAGATTTACTCGGTTAGTACCAGGGATGAAGGGGATGTGTTACGAGGAGAGGCTGACCAATTTGAGCCTATATTCTCTAGAATATAGAAGAATTAGAGGGGATCTCACAGAAACCTATAAGATCATCAAAGGACATGATAGAGTAGATAGACTATTTCCTTTAAGCACTTTAATACACTTCTTTTGAATGGCTTAAGTGGCCACAACTCAATATGAATTGACTCGCACTGTACCAACATGGCTTGAGGACAACCTTTTGCTGGTAATGGAGACAGAGAATCTATATTCTCTGCAGCAAATGTAATGTGACTCTTCTCTGTAACAATGGGCAACATTCTCACTCACTGAGAAAATGTTGGATGTATTGGCTGAACGGACCTTCACAACCCATTGAGGAGGCAAACACACAGCTGAAATCCATGAGTTAAACATCTCAGCTTTGACGATATGAACCCTGATGATAGATAAATGCCAAGACCACTGCATTTTGGCCTGGAATTGGAATGATTGAGCACCTCTACAACTCCTTCGGCAGTGAGATCTGAGTCTCATGGAGGAACCGTGTTAGAGGTCATCAAAGCCACTATTACAAAGCAGCCGACAACAGAGACGATTCAGCAGAAGCACATGGTTCCATTTATGATCTTCGATCTCCCCATTTGGCAATCTGATCAGCCGTGATCTTATTAAAGATCTTATTAAAGACCTTATTAAGATCGGGACACGCTCGAGGTGCCGAATGGCCTATTCCGGCTCCTGTCACTTATGTTCTTAATCTGCTATGAAATAGGCTTATATGCACTGTATTATTAATACAGTATGTAAATAATCTTTCTTTTTTCAGTTCCATATTATTCTATGATCTGATAAGAGTTCTTTAAAAGTATGAGGAGTTTGTTGGGATATATAATCATTAAGAATAGAACAAGATTTTCGGATCCATTCTTTTAAGATAATAATAATAATAATAATAATAATAATAATAATAATAATAATAATCCTCGCATTTGATATAGCGCTTTTCATGTCGGGCGGACGTCCCAAAGCGCTTCACAGAACACACTGTAAAGTGAATTGACTGTATGTTTGTGGGTGAACGCGGCAGCCAATTGCGCAGAGCAATGTCCCCCAAACAGTCGTCGATTGAAAATGACCAATTTATTATTGTTTTTAGTTTTGGAGGATTATTATTAGGCTCTGTGTGGAGTAAGGAAACTTGCCCAAGGTTTCGCCCTCTGCCTGGAATTGAACTCAGGTCTCTCACTTGCAAAGCGAGTGCTCTAACCACTGAGCTACAGGACTCCACAATGAGAGCGAGTGGGTGAGAAAGAGAGGACGAGAGCGTGAGAGATGGTGTGCGTGTGTGTGTGTGTGTACGTGACAGGCTGCGTGTCATATATGTTCAATTAAAAATCTTGTTCTATTCTAAATGATTAAAGGGGAATCCCTATATCCCACACTGTACGCCCAGTGACGAGCAGGACTGGCACAGTCTTCTTACAGCCTTACTTGATGGTGTTTTATTTGCCAATCTCTGGCTGAGCTGTGATCATATTCTGGTCAGTGTGACTGAAAAGTCTATAGAATTTGACCAGGAGCAAAGACTTATACCTGAATAATAATAATAATCCTGGCCTTTGATATAGCGCCTCATCACATCTTCAAGATGACACAAAGCGCTTCACACAATATAGTATAAAGTGCAATGACTGTCTGTTTTGTGGACGAAATGCGGAAGATATTACGCTCAGCGACTTCCCCACAAACATTCGTAGATTAAAGTGACCAATTCTTACTCTTTTTTGAAGGAATTATTATTATTACACCCAGAAAAGTGATCCGTGAATCGACTACCAACCGGATCCTACTCACTACAAGGCAAACAGTGACGTGTGGAGTAAGGAAACTTGCCCAACGTTTCTCTCTGTCCCACCCGGGAATCGAACCCAGATCCTCTCGTTTGCCGGGCGAGGGGTCTACCCACTGAGCTACAGGATCATCACTATCATGGCTTCTCTGCTGAAAGATCACTGCTGGAGCTTTCTTGGATTCCTTATTTGGTAGATTTATCTGCACTCATTTACACAGTCAGGAAACTGTCTCTCTATCACACACTAAACCCTGTACCCCATCACCCACCCCGGCCCTCGCCCTCGCCCTCGCCAGGCCCCACTGGGTCCCTATCACACACTAAACTCTGTACCCCATCACCCACCCCCGCCCTCGCCAGGCCCCACTGGGTCCCTATCACACACTAAACCCTGTACCCATCACTCCGGCCCTCTCCAGGCTCCGTGTTAGGCTGAGAATTCCGTGCATCCCACCTACACATGGAAATTCCCAGAGATAGATTGACTGAATGGCCTCCTTCTGTGCTGTAAATGTCTCTGGGTCTCTGGTGTCTATATAGAGCCTTTCACGTCAGGAGGACATCCCAAAGTGTTGGTTGGGCGCCTGAGCTGAAGGGATGAGATCAGACGGCCAAAAGGTCTTTGTTGATCCAAACTAATCTTGTGATCTTGTGATCTTGTGATCTTGTGATCGGCACAAAATGTTTAGACTTTTACCCCTCAATATTCCCTCTTGAAGCAGCTGATTGTCACTGTGTAACAGCGCTGCTCTGACAGACGGTGGGGCTGTTGCTCACTGTAACGTTGATGGAATAATTGAGTGGTGTCATTGGGAATCACAGGGAAACAGTAATTCACATTTGATTTCTAACCCGGAGTTTCTATGTCGATTAATGACATGAAGCCCTTTGTTGGGCAGTCAGGCGGCTGTCATTCACCTCATGGTGTTGGTCCTTCACTTCACGGCTGTTTGTGGGACGTCGCTGAGCCTCAATCAGCTCCCACGTTCGCCTACTAAGTACACAGTCACTACACTTTACAGTTATCCACGACTGTTCATGGGACACTGATTTCCCCAATTGGTTGCCGTGTTTTATCCACAAAAATATACAGCAATAACTTATATTTATAGTTTTTGGGATCTGGAATGTGTTGCCTGAAAGGCTGGTGGAAGCCGACTCAATCACAACTTTCAAGAGAGTGTTGGATGGATATTTGGGATAGACAAATTTGCAGGGCTATGGGGAGAGAGCGGGGGAAGTTGAGTTGATCAGGGCTATGGGAAGAGAGTGGGGTAGTGGGGCTCATCAGGACTATGGGGAGAGTGGGGGAGTGGGGTTAATCAGGACTATGGGGAGAGAGTGGGGGAGTGGGGTTGATCAGGGCTATGAGGAGAGAGGGCGGGGCAGTTGGGTCAATTTGGAAGCTCTTTCACGGACACGATGGGCCGAATGGCCTCTTTCTGTGCTGTATGATTCTATACAGCGCCATCACGTGGGGTGGGGTTCCGCAGCACTTTGAGTCGTCTTGTTATTATTCTGTGTACTTTATATTTTAAAACGAGACAAACTGCTGCCTTGTTGTCCGGCAGCTCACAATGTCCCGGCTCCTGGGCTTTGGGCAAACCCTGTTCTGCCTTAAAATGCCCAAATCATTTCATATCACCGACCAGGAACCACACTGCAGTGACTCCCGACCACTCCCTACTTCCTATTTGCTCAATAAGTGCAGAGCTGAGAGAAGAGAAAGCTCTACTGACTGACGGAGTGTAACCAGCACCGGCTGCTCAGTGACTGAGTGACCAGGACACCGGCTGCTCAGTGACTGAGTGACCAGCACCGGCTGCTCAGTGACTGAGTGACCAGGACACCGGCTGCTCAGTGACTGAGTGACCAGGACACCGGCTGCTCAGTGACTGAGTGACCAGGACATAGGCTGAGGTCAGGATGCAGACAGCACGACTCGGGGTAGTTGCTCTTTGCTGCTGTGTGTGTGTGGGTGAGTCTCACTTTCTCACTCGCTCTCAGTTGGGAGTTTATTTAAGATGATCTAACGATAGAGACAGGAGAACTTGCTCACCGCGTCCCTACAAGAGATGCCGTCAGTCAGGACGGACTGTGTCGATGTGTATTCAGCCGATGTCTCGCTGTCCTTAATGGGATTTTCTCTCTCTCCAGTTACAGCACAGTTCACCATCACTGTACCAGACAATCCCATTACAGCAGCAGCCGGAGGTACGGCTGTGTTTACAGTGAAACCGTCTGGTGAGGTGAGGAGCGGGAGTTGGCGTTTTGGCACCGAGACTGTACTTCTGTGGATCGGGGATATAGTATCTGTAAACACTCATTACGAAGGCCGGGCTGAGGTATCTCTCCCCGACGTGTCTCTTCGGTTAAAATCAGTGACAGTGACCGACAGTGGAAATTACACTGTGAATCTGACCCCAGTTTCTGGCGATTCAAAATCAGCGACAGTCACCCTGAAGGTGAAGGGTAAGTAACAGTTACAGTTAACAATAACCTGTCTGTGTACCACTCCTGTCCCGGGTTATTGGCCACTAACCTCGTCACCAGTTTAGGGAGAAAATTAAAATGAATATCTTCACACAAAGTGTTTTATATCCGGACAAATGGACAATCTGCTCCCGATCTGATGGTTCCATTTCATGTCACTGAGCTGCTTAAAGCAGAGAAATAGTGTTTCTACCCTATAGATATACAGTATGGGCTGTTTTCCTATTTTCTCTCTCGTGTCCTGAAGGCATTTACCATTCTGATAGAGGAAAAAGATGTTATGGTATGTTTAAAAAACTATATCGTAGCTTGTGCCCCGGCCTATCGCTGTGTAAACGCTTTTAAGCAGATATAAGTAAGTAGGTTAGACTTGTTATTGTAGAATTCCGTTATCTGAAGGCCACAGTCTAAGGAACGGCGCTGATAACATAGAAATGGCCTTCCAGCAAAACCGTAAGATTAGTGCAGTTGAAACTAACTAAAGCAAGAAATGTGGGAAAACGTGATTGGTCTGTAAGGAAAAACACCCCTTCTGTGTATTTTTGTGTACTCCTGTATAAAACTTAATTGTACCGATGAAGAGGACCTTTTGTCTGACGGAGACATTAGATCCTATTTGTATACGGGAACAATTGTGTGCTCCTGTATACAAGTAGAAATAAAAACCCATTCTTTGTTTCTTAAGTTTACTTGTATCAGATTTTTTCTCTCCAAATACAGACACATAATTCGCGGATCTAACAATTCTACTGGAATATAGTTTCATAACCACATGTGGCCACTTGTATCTTGAATAATTAGCCATTAATCGTGATTTGATAGCACACTCGCCTCGCAAGCGCGAGGACCTGGGTTTGATTCCCAGGCGGTTCAGGTCAGGGCGAAATCTTACAGGTTTCCTTACTCCACAAACACACACACTCTGTTTACTCAGCAGTAAGTTGGAACCCACTTGTTGATTATCTGATTGGTTTCTGGGGGTAATACAACAACAAGATGACATTTGAGCAGCGCCTTTCACATCAGGAGGACATCCCAAGGCACTGGACAGTGACAGCATTTCAAACCCGAGCTGGGGTCTGTGGGTGGGAAGAGGGGTGGCCGATGGCCTGGTCAAAGAGGAGGGTCTTGAGGCGGGACTTGAAGGAGGGGACGAGGCGGAGTGACTGGGGGATGGAATTCCAGAGGTTGGGAGCAGAGGGGCTGAAGGCTCTCCCGCCAATGGTGGGGTGGGTGGGTCAGCGGATGTGGAGCAGCCGGAGCGGCTGAGCGGAGGGAATAGTAATAATAATACCTCCCCACCAAAAAAAAATTGGGGGACACGAATGTGCACAATTGGCTGCCACGTTGCAGCCACAAATATTACTATGAATAATAATAATCCTTGCATTTGGTTTAGCGCCTTTCACGTCAGGAGGACGTCCCAAAGAGTTTCCCAGGATAAGCCGCCTGGTACTGGGGATGAGGGTGTGAGCTGAGAGGCTGGGAGGGGGGAAGCCTTGTCAGAGAGTTAGTGTAGAGGTGACCTCGAAAGAGGGAATGGAGGCAGCGAGTCACAGTGACCTGGGAGTGGAGTTCCCGAGTTCAGCGTAACCACTGGTTTATAATTGTATGATTCTATTATCATTCTATTTACAGCGAAAATCACCAGCGTCACCGTAACACAGAACACTCCCAACCCGATAGAATACACTGACACTGTGACACTGACATGTGATGTTAAAGGCACTGTTGAGTCACGGTTGTGGTTTAAGGATGAGCGAACTCTCCACAGCAATGACAGGATCACAATCTCCCAGGATAATGCCACCCTGACCATCATCAGTGTGACTAGAAATGATGGTGGAACGTATCGGTGTGAGGCAAAGAACAGCCTTAGCTCTCAGTCCGGCAGCCGTACACTGAGCATTGCGTGTAAGTACTCAGTCACCTCTCAGAATAAGGCTTCAATCTTATGCTTTACGTTCAGTGGTAATAAAAAAGCCGTTCTTGCGTCTGTTGCAGATGGACCAGACACCCCTGAGCTTACAATCACTGGGACACACTCAGCAGAACTTGGAGACTCTCTAACATTGTCTTGTTCTGCTCAGTCAAACCCAGAAGCTCAGTATAAATGGATATTTAATGGCACCGTTCTGTCACACACAACTCCACAGCTCACCATTGATCAAATAAGCCCGACTGACCGTGGGAGTTACACTTGTCAGGCTCGGAACAGCGTTACCTTAAAAGTCAATGCGACAACATTGAGTGAATGGACCGCACTGTTCCCTCAGCTCTTGGCTTTGCACCTTGTACCGTCTGACCACGTCAATGACAGACACTGAGGTGATATCTGCCCTCACTCACCAGCTTATCAACAAGATATTTACAGTGCACACAGTCTGCGTGTGGGGTCTCAGGAGAAACACGCCCTGATTTCTGCTCTTTCACATCTTATATCCTATCATGAGCTGAACGGGCTCCAAGGGGACGTGTTTGGCAACGCAATGTGGGAATGGAGTCCCCCTCTGTGACGCTCTCTGGTCCTGTTCCTGAGCCAGGCTGAATGGCAGGAGTTTACTGTGACTGTGTATTGTAGGTGTAACATGTAACTATTGCTGTACAGATGCAAGTAGTTGTAAATGCTGATTTTTATCTTAGAATTGACTGTTTCTGTTGTTTCTACAGATGCTATACGTCAATGAATATTCATTGTAGGAACACAGGAGGCCATTCAGCCCCTCGAGACTGTTCTACCATTCTATAAGCTCAAGGCTGATCTGTACCTCAACTCCAACTGCCTTTGCCCATATCCCTTGATCTCCTGACCTGACAAACATCTCTCCATCTCAGTGTTGACAATGTGAACGAATCCACAGCCGTAATCCACAGCCTTTTGGGGAGAGAGAGAGAGTTCCAGATTCCCACTCCACTTTGGACAAAAACTGCCCCGATTTCACTCCTGAATGTCCTGTCTCTGATTATAAGATGATGTCCCTCTTGTTCTGGATTCCCCACTCACCAGAGGAGATAGTTCCTCTGTGTGGACTTGAACTACAAGAGCAAAAACAGAAGACGGTGCGTTAAGAGCTTTGCTTATCCCGTCTGTCTAACCAGTCAGAGGCTGTCACACAAGCCGTGCTGCTGAGTGAGGACTGCAGACTGTCCACGATATATTTTAATTGTGATTTAAACTCCAAACCTTATCACAGTGTGATTGCATGTTGCCGGCTGAGTAAAGGGCGAGTGATATAAAAAGGTTCAACAGTCGCTCGGGTACAATGTGTAGCTCCTTGAATAGCATTAACCAACAGCTTAAATAATCACTTCTTCCTGCAAACAAATGTCCACAGAATGTCTCAGGGAAAGAGAATCCAAAAGCCATAAATAAACCTTCCATTGCCTTTCGATCACTCAAATACAAACACAAACACTCATCTGAAGGACAACACCTCCAACAATGCAGCACTGCACTGGGGTGTCAGCCTCGACTGTGTGTGTTATAATAATAATAATAATAATTCCTGCATTTGATACAGCGCCGTATCATATCTTCAAGACTTCTCAAAGCGCTTCACAGAATAAAGTGAATTGACTATATTTTGTGGTGAAACACGGCAGCCAATTGTGCACAGCGACGTCCCACAAACAGTCGTGGATTGAAATGGCCAATTTATCATTATTAAATTTAAGGAATTTTTGAAGTGAATCCTGATGTGGAGTTTGAACCCACAACCTTGTGACTCGGAGCTGAGAGTGTCACCAACTGAGACAGACGGACACTGTTGCCCCTCACTTGGGACTATTGATTCTATCGCTTGAGACTTCTTAGTGATTAGTAATAAAGTCCAGTGCAATGCTAAATACACTATAATCTCACCAATAGCTTTATTTAGAGGAGGTTTGGCTTTGTTTATTCAGATCATGTGGTTAGTGATGTAAATCTGACTCATAAAATACAACATTGATAGTGAATGTCGTGGGTTTCTTGACTTTGAGTCTCCAGATAACAAAACTCTTATTTCACAGCATTTAAATGTCCAATAGATGTTCCGGTATTGACCGGTGATCAGCACTGAAGTGTCACAGTTTTGGAAGAGCTGTAGCTCACCTTCTAAACCCTCCACGGCATTGCTCCTCCCTCCCTCTGGGACCTCCTAACCCCCTACCAACCTGTCCCTTCCCTCCGCTCAGTGGGGTCCGGGTGCTTCACGTCCACACCCTGTCCGCCCCTCCATCGGGCCTTCAACCTGCCTTCAGCCTCTGCCGCCACCCTATGGCACTCCATCCCACAGTCCCTCCCCCTCACCCTCTCCTGTACCTTCTTCAAGACTCGGCTCAAATCCCTCCTCTTCAACCAACCGCACCTTCAGTCACCCTCCTACCCCCACCCTCCCCACCTCCACCCCCTCCTGATCCCAAACCCTCCTCCCCACCCCCACTCGGGTCCAAATCCCTGACTGTCCAGCGCCTTGGGACGTCCTCCCGCCGTGAAACTCGCTGTGTAAATGTCATTTGTTAATAATAATAATGATAATAATCCTTGCAGTTGATATAGCGCCTTATCACGTCTTCTCGATGTCTCAAAGCGCTTCACAGAATATACTGTAAAGTGTATTTGTGGGTGAAACACAGCAGCCAATTGCGCACAGCGACGTCCCACAAACAGTCGTAATTTAAGTGACCAAAGCTATTGTTTTTTTGAAGAAATTATTAACCCCAGAAAAGTGATCCGCCAATGGACTAAGGACCGGCTTCATACTTACTGCTGATAAACAGAGGTGTGTGGAGTAAGGAAACTTGCACAGTGTTTGCCCGGCCCGGGATTCAAACCCTGGTCCTCTCCCGTGTGAGGTGAGCGCTCTCACCACTGAGCTACAGGGCTCAAGGTTGAAGACGGCAAAACACAAAGGATATGTCCCAGCACCTCAGGGCGTTACCGGCACCCCAGGGTGTTCCCGGCACCCCAGGGTGTTCCCGGCACCCCAGGGTGTTCCCGGCACCCCAGGGTGTTCCCGGCACCCCAGGGTGTTCCCGGCACCCCAGGGCGTTCCCGGCACCCCAGGGCGTTCCCGGCACCCCAGGGTATTCCCGGCACCCCAGGGTGTTCCCGGCACCCAGGGTGTTCCCAGCACCCCAGGGCGTTCCCGGCACCCCAGGGCGTTCCCGGCACCCCAGGGTATTCCCGGCACCCCAGGGTGTTCCCGGCACCCCAGGGTGTTCCCAGTACCCAGGGTGTTCCCGGCACCCCAGGGTGTTCCCGGCACCCCAGGGTGTTCCCGGCACCCCAGGGTGTTCCCGGCACCCCAGGGTGTTCCCAGTTTGCTCCAAGTACACCAGCAACACTCCCAGTGGGGTAATGGGTTGTAAGCACAACAAAGAGATTACGAGCTCAGGACTGGGATCTCACTGGTCCAACACCACACACTCTTCCTGTAGCCCCACACTCCGCTGTGGGTTGGCTCCAGCTCCCCCCACCCCCACTGCGTAGCATTGCACAGTCCATATGGGGCCCAGATTCACTCCCTGTGTCAAAGGTCCAAGTCAAGTTTGGTTTGGGCTGAGAACAAAGTTCATTAAATAAGGAATAAATAACAAAGCCACTCACTGGGCTCAGTGCAAAGGAACTTTTCATCAGAAAGGACAAAGGGCAATTTTAGCTGCTCCCCAAGAGAGGTTACTGCAGCCCCAGCGCCAATGGCTTGTCAGCCTCAGGGCAAAAGGACACTGTTAGCCCAGGGCTGGGCAGTGCCCACCACACTGTTAGCCCAGGGCTGGGCAGTGCCCACCACACTGTTAGCCCAGGGCTGGGCAGTGCCCACCACACTGTTAGCCCAGGGCTGGGCAGTGCCCACCACACTGTTAGCCCAGGGCTGGGCAGTGCCCACCACACTGTTAGCCCAGTGCTGGGCAGTGCCCACCACACTGTTAGCCCAGTGCTGGGCAGTGCCCACCACAGGGGATTCCCCTATAATCATTAAGAATAGAACAAGATTTTCAGATCCATTGTTTTGGATATGTTTAATTAAAATTAAACATAATTAAGATATGTTTAATTAAAAATCTTGTTCTATTCTAAATGATTATAGGGGCATCGCTATATCCCACCACACTGTTAGCCCAGGGCTGGGCAGTGCCCACCACACTGTTAGCCCAGGGCTGGGCAGTGCCCACCACACTGTACGCCCAGTGACGAGCAGGACTGGCACAGTCTTCTTACAGCTTTACTTGATGCTGTTTTATTTGCCAATCTCTGGCTGAGCTGTGATCATATTCTGCTCAGTGTGACTGAAAATCATCACATCTTCAAGACATCACAAAGCGCTTCACACAATACACTATAAAGTGTAATGACTGTGTGTTTTGTGGACGAATTGCGGCAGATATTACGCTCAGCGACTTCCCCACAAACATTCGTCGATTAAAGTGACCAATTCTTATTCTTTTTTGAAGGAATTATTACTATTACCCCCAGAAAAGTGATCCGTCAATCGACTACCAACCGGATCCTACTCACTACAAGGCAAACAGTGACGTGTGGAGTAAGGAAACTTGCCCAACGTTTCTCCCTGTCCCACCCGGGAATCGAACCCAGATCCTCTCGTTTGCCGGGCGAGGGGTCTACCCACTGAGCTACAGGATCATCACTATCATGGCTTCTCTGCTGAAAGATCACTGCTGGAGCTTTCTTGGATTCCTTATTTGGTAGATTTATCTGCACTCATTTACACAGTCAGGAAACTGTCTCTCTATCACACACTAAAGTCTGTACCCCATCACCCACCCCGGCCCTCGCCCCCGCCCTCGTGAGGCCCCACTGGGTGCCTATCACACACTAAACCCTGTACCCCATCACCCACCCCGGCCCTCGCCCTCGCCCTCGCCCTCGCCAGGCCCCAGTGGCTCCCTATCACACACTAAACCCTGTACCCCATCACCCACCCCCGCCCTCGCCAGGCCCCACTGGCTCCCTATCACACACTAAACTCTGTACCCCATCACCCCCGCCCTCGCCAGGCCCCAGTGGCTCCCTATCACACACTAAACCCTGTACCCCATCACCCACCCCCGCCCTCGCCAGGCCCCACTGGGTCCCTATCACACACTAAACCCTGTACCCATCACTCCGGCCCTCTCCAGGCTCCGTGTCAGGCTGAGAATTCCGTGCATCCCACCTACACATGGAAATTCCCAGAGATAGATTGACTGAATGGCCTCCTTCTGTGCTGTAAATGTCTCTGGGTCTCTGGTGTCTATATAGAGCCTTTCACATCAGGAGGACATCCCAAAGTGTTGGTTGGGCGCCTGAGCTGAAGGGATGAGATCAGACGGCCAAAAGGCCTTTGTTGATCCAAACTAATCTTGTGATCTTGTGATCTTGTGATCGGCACAAAATGTTTAGACTTTTACCCCTCAATATTCCCTCTTGAAGCAGCTGATAGTCACTGTGTAACAGCGCTGCTCTGACAGACGGTGGGGCTGTTGCTCACTGTAACGTTGATGGAATAATTGAGTGGTGTCATTGGGAATCACAGGGAAACAGTAATTCACATTTGATTTCTAACCCGGAGTTTCTATGTCGATTAATGACATGAAGCCCTTTGTTGGGCAGTCAGGCGGCTGTCATTCACCTCATGGTGTTGGTCCTTCACTTCACGGCTGTTTGTGGGACGTCGCTGAGTCTCAATCAGCTCCCACGTTCGCCTACTAAATACACAGTCACTACACTTTACAGTGACAAATCCTGTGAAACACTTTGAGATGTTCTCCTGACATGAAAGGCTGTGCCAAATGCAAGGTTTATGATCACATTATCCACCACTGTTTGTGGGACACTGAGTTCCCCAATTGACTGCCGTTTTTCGCCCACAAAACAGTACAACGATAATTTGTGTCTATAGTTGCTGGGATCTGAAAGCGTTTCCTGAAAGGCCGATGGAAACCGATCCGATAACAACTTTCAAGAGACAAGTAGATCGGTATTTGGGGAGGACAAATTTGCAGGACGAAAGGGAGAGAGCGAGGGAGTGGGGTTGATCAGGGCTGTGGGGAGAGGGGAGTGGGGTTGACTTTGAAGCTCTTTCAAAGAACGGTCACAGACGCGATGGGCTGAATGGCTGTATAAAGCCATGATTCTATGATTCTATGATTGCGCCTTCACATGGGGTTGGGTTCTGCAGCACTTTGAGTCGTCTTGAAGACGTGATAAGGCACTGTATCGAATGTCAGGTTATTATTGTTATTATTCTGTGTATTTTATATTTTAAAACGAGACGAACAAAGATCCAAACGGCTGCCGTGTTGCTGTCCGGCAGCTCACAATGTCCCGGCTCCTGGGCTTTGGGCAAACCCTGTTCTGACTTGAAATGCTCAAACCATTTCATATCACCGACCAGGAACCACACTGCAGTGACTCCCGACCACTCCCTACTTCCTATTTGCTCAATAAGTGCAGAGCTGAGAGAAGAGAAAGCTCTACTGACTGACGGAGTGTAACCAGCACCGGCTGCTCAGTGACTGAGTGACCAGGACACCGGCTGCTCAGTGACTGAGTGACCAGGACACAGGCTGCTCAGTGACTGAGTGACCAGGACACCGGCTGCTCAGTGACTGAGTGACCAGGACACAGGCTGCTCAGTGACTGAGTGACCAGGACACCGGCTGCTCAGTGACTGAGTGACCAGGACACCGGCTGCTCAGTGACTGAGTGACCAGGACACCGGCTGCTCAGTGACTGAGTGACCAGCACCGGCTGCTCAGTGACTGAGTGACCAGGACACAGGCTGCTCAGTGACTGAGTGACCAGCACCGGCTGCTCAGTGACTGAGTGACCAGGACACCGGCTGCTCAGTGACTGAGTGACCAGGACATAGGCTGAGGTCAGGATGCAGACAGCACGACTCGGGGTAGTTGCTCTTTGCTGCTGTGTGTGTGTGGGTGAGTCTCACTTTCTCACTCGCTCTCAGTTGGGAGTTTATTTAAGATGATCTAACGATAGAGACAGGAGAACTTGCTCACCGCGTCCCTACAAGAGATGCCGTCAGTCAGGACGGACTGTGTCGATGTGTATTCAGCCGATGTCTCGCTGTCCTTAATGGGATTTTCTCTCTCTCCAGTTACAGCACAGTTCACCATCACTGTACCAGAGAATCCCATTACAGCAGCAGCCGGAGGTACGGCTGTGTTTACAGTGAAACCGTCTGGTGAGGTGGGGAGCGGGACCTGGCGATTCGGCGGCAGTGAAGTACTTCTGTGGGTCGGGGATAGCGTATCTGTAAACTCTAATTACCAAGGCCGGGCTGAGTTATCTCTCCCCGACGTGTCTCTTCGGCTGAAATCAGTGACAGTGACCGACAGTGGAAATTACACTGTGACTTTGACCTCAGTCTCTGGCGATTCAAAATCAGCGACAGTCACCCTGAAGGTGGAGGGTGAGTAACAGTTACAGTTAACAATAACCTGTCTGTGTACCACTCCTGTCCCGGGTTATTGGCCACTAACCTCGTCACCAGTTTGGGGAGAAAATTAAAATGAATATCTTCACACAAAATGTTTTATATCCGGACAAATGGACAATCTGCTCCCGATCTGATGGTTCCATTTCATGTCACTGAGCTGCTTAAAGCAGAGAAATAGTGTTTCTACCCTATAGATATACAGTATGGGCTGTTTTCCTATTTTCTCTCGTGTCCTGAAGGCACTTAACTATTCTACTGGAATACAGTTTCATAACCACTTGTAGTCACTTGTACCTCACCCGAGTAGAACATTATTCATGAATTCATAGCACATTCCATTCAAAACTGGAGGACATGGATTTGATTGTTTGACGGGGCAAAACTTTAGGTCACTTGACCACATATACACACACACACACACACACACACACACGCCTCTGTTTACTGAGCAGTAAGTAGGAACCCGCCTGTTGGTCGCTTGGCGAATCGCTTTCCAGATTACTAATCCCTCTCCCTCCCAAAAAACTGGTAACGACTGTTTGTTGGACACTGTTGTGGAAATTGACTTCTGTGTTTCACCCACAAAATACCCCGTAGATTTACTTTACAGTGTATCCTGTCAAGAACAATGACATGATAAGGCGCTGTATCAAATGCAAGGATTATTATTATGAACAAAACAGTAAAACACAGTATTTGTCCATCCTCCGCTACTGCTCAGAGAATATTACAGCACATAAGGAGACCATTTGGCCCACGTTGTCCTAATGTTATACTAAAAAATAATAAGCCCTACATTTAATATAATATCTTATCACGTCATTGAGGCATTTCAAAATGCTTCATAGGAATTCTTGTAAAGTGTGGTGACTGTGTATTTGTCGGTATGTGTCAGCCACCCGGGTCCTCCCGCTCGCGAGGCGAGTGCTCTAACCACTGAGCTACAGGACTTGAGCACGAGTTGATTAGGAGCATTTACAATAGAGATTTACACTAACACACACAGAGGAAGGGGATTGGAGAGTTAGAGAGGAGAACTGGGATGAGGATGGATGGCTTATTGGAGAAGAAAGAAACTGACATAAAAACAATGGACTGAATGGCTTCATAGAGTATTCAACATCTCTATGTGATCAGAAGGTTGTGAGATTAATCCTCACGTCAGGATTTACAGTCAAGGCTGACACTGCGATTTACTATTTACTATCCAAACACGGAGGTGGTGCCAATGTCCAGTTTAATCCTTTCAGAATATCAGCTCTTTATCTTCCCCACATCGTTTCTTAAAACAAGTTCCATCACCGAACTTCAAAACCTTTCCTCCGCTCCACCCTCGGCGGCCGTGCCTTCAGCCACTGTGCCCCGAGGATCTGGAACTGCCTTCCTCACTCCCTTCGTCTCCCATCGTCTCGCTCCCTCCCTTCACATTTTCAGGTCTCTGCTGAAGACCTTTCTTTTCGACCGCGCCTTTGGTCACCTTCCCCCCCCCCACCGCCCGCGCCCCCCGGCTCGGTCCCGGGATCCCAAACTGTAAAGGGCTCTGAGACGCCTTCCGGCGTGGATGGTGCTATATAAATCCAAGTTGTTGTTGCTGTGATGCAATGCTGTGGGTGTGATGTCAGAGGTACTCTCCTTCAATTACAAGTTTAATTAAGTGATGTCAAAGATCCCATCGCATGACTCAAAACCAGAAGGGAGTTTCTCCCGGTGTCCCGGCCAACAATCCATTAAATAAAATCACTCATTCACTTCAATGGCTGTTTGTGGAACATCGCAATGTGCAAATTGGCTTATGTTTGCCGACAAATACACAGTCACTGCACTTTACAGTAAACTCCTGCAAAGCACTTTGAGATCCTCAATGATGTGATACGGTACTATATCAAATTACAAAGATTACTGTATAGACAGTTATGGGAAAGGGTCTTTGAGGTTCGGTGCGAGTTAGTGAAAGTGCAACAGAACCTCAGCACTGCACTGCAGTGTCATCATAGACAATGTGACTTGAACCCACAACCTTCTGACTCAGAGTCGAGTGTGAGCCAAGATGGCAAATGAATAATAATTAATAATAATAAAGAAGACCAATGAATAATCTGTACATTTGATATAGCATCTCTCATTTCAGGAGTTTATCTCAAAGTGGATTTACTGTAACTTGTCTTGACGGTATGTGTTAAGCACTCCGAAACGCTACCCTGTGTGAAGGGCCCTATTTAAATGCAAGTTGTCGTTGCTATTTGTTGGTGAACACAGAAGGAAAGTTGTTGCAAGCGCTCTTGCTGATTAATAAAGATGATATGGACAGTTATGATCCAGTTACAAATACTGTTTTGGAATATTCTAGATTGACACCAGAATCATATTGTAAATGATGTACGGCAGAAAGTACCCATTTGGTTGGAATGAAAAGAGGATATTTTCTCTTGGATGACGTTTTCAAAATCATGAGGGGATTTGATAGGTTAGAAAGGGAAAAACTGTTTCCACTGGTGGGTGTGTCGGTGACTCAACGTCACAGATTCAAAATAGTGTCTAAAAGAAGCCGAGGGGAGGTGAGAAGAAATGTTTTCACGCATCGAGTTGTTCGAATCTGGAACACATTGCCTGAAAGAGTGGTCGAGGCCGATTCGATAACTACTTTTAAAAACGCGGTGGACGGGTATTTGAGGAGGACAGATTTGCAGGTTATGGGGAAAGGGCCGGGAGTGAGATTAACATTAATTGCTCTATTCAAAGAGCCGCACAGACTCGATGGGCTGAATGGCCTCTTTTTGTGCTGTACGATTCTATGATTCTATGATGAGCCGTGTTGTTGAACTCAGGAACAAACCGATCACTGAGGTTTCATGGCCAAATCACCTCTCCAACTTCCTCACACCTCTTCCCAGCCCTTTCGCTTGGTTTGCTCAGGCCTTGTGCACATCCCCTGACCCTCTGCTCCACCTTCAGCCACTTTGCCCTGAGCCCCTGGAACTCCCGGCCTCACCCTCTCCGCCCCTTGCTCCTCTTTCCTCTTTACACCAAGCGCTACGGTCCACTCCCCTTTCTCCCCGTCTCAGCCCCAAACTCTGCCAACGCTGAGACACTGCCCCACAGGAAAGTCACTGTGTAAATGCAAGTTGTTGTTGCTGATGTTTTAAGTGATTTGAGTTTCCAACAAACTGTTGTATTTTACACAGAATGTGATGCACAGAATGTAAATACTCTCCTGTGTTTTGACAGAATCTGTTTCCAATATTGCTGTTACCCCCAATGTCACGCAGTCAGTAGAATATAATGACACTGTGGGGCTGACGTGCACTGCATCAGGGACAGACGTGTCATATCAATGGTTGAAAGACAATAAAACTATCAGCTCTGACAACAGGACTGTCCTAAGTCTGGATAACAAACCCCTGACTATAGCTGGAGTACTGAGGGCTGACAGTGGGAATTACACGCACTGGGCCTACAACACCGTTAGTAACGACACAAGCCATCCATTTTATCTCAATGTCAACTGTAAGTGTCACAGTAAAAGCAGCTTCAATGTTATATTTTTGTAAATGATTTTTATAATCTTAGTTAATGTTATGCAATATTTGTTTCCGCAAACATTATTCGCTCCGTATCCATTTTGGACCATATAATTAATTCCTTTAACAAACACTGAATTTGATCAGATTTAACAAAAAATTATAAAAGCACCGAAATGTAAAAGAATATCCAGCATTAAACTCTGAAATGAAACTATTTTTATTACGAATCTCAATCTAAACCATTATAAAAGTATTAGATTTGAATTCTGTTTGAATCACTACAAACTTTCATTTGTACCAACAGGTGAAAGCACTGGTCCACTCCTGAAATAAATACCATAATAATTGAATTGATGAACAATGAAAAAAGTCCTACTAAACTGGTACTCAATTAAAATATAGGAGTAGAAATCCCCCCTTGGGTCTGGACTTGTCTATTGTAATATTATTTCACAGCAAATAGAATTAAATTCTTAAATTGTGTCCATTGAACTACAGAAACTGGGAAAGTTTCTGCTGGCTCTGAAATGCTAAATAATACCTCAGTGGAATTTCAGGGGACAGAATTGATTTTATATATTAAACAACTATTATTATTATTACACATTATAACAGACAGGTTTTATTAATAACCGTCTCCTTTTGTTTGCACAGTTTTGGTGTTCAGGCTCATCGTGACCTTTAGTGCTGGTGATGGGCTGTACGTTAGATAGTTTTAGACTTGTGATGTATATGATGTTACAAATGATGTGCATTTGTTCTGGATGGACCAGGATTACCCAATGTGTCCATCATCCCGGATAAAACATTACACAGTTCAGGAACAACTGTTAAGTTCTTGTGCTCCGCGGACTCAAATCCAGCCTCTGAATTTCAGTGGTTTCACAATGGTGCCTCTCTTCAACAAAACGGTCAACAAATAATCATTAATAATATTTCTATGAACGCCACTGGAAATTACACTTGTCAGGCACATAACAATATAACACTAAGGTACAATGAAGCAAGCAGGGAAATCCAAGTTATAGGTATGTAACGATAATTTATGAAATAGTAATTACTTTTTATATCATTTTCACTCCTAATTTTGAAAGGTAAAACTGTGTTTTCTTTTCAGAAATTGAACAGCTAACATATACATTATTTTATGTGAATGATATGACTTTATCCATGGGTTTCAGTAGCCGGTAATTGTTTGCTGTGATGGGCAAACTTTGAATTACAAAACT